CATCTATATTCAGAATGCCAAGTTCCTTTGATTTTTTAAAGGGAATTCTGTTGATTCAAAACAAAAAACAGAAGAGTAAGGCAAGCACAAGAAAAATGAGATGAATTAGAGAAAGTAAAGTTTATTGTTTAAAAAATACTGTATTTTGGCTGGGCGCAGTGGCTCACGCCTGTAATCCCATCTCTTTGGGAGGCTGAGGCGGGCAGATCACCTGGGTCAGGAGTTTGAGACCAGCCTGGCCAACATGGGAAACTCCGTCTCTACTAAAAATATAAAAATTAGTCAGGTGTGGTAGGGGGTGCCTATAATCCCAGCTACTCGGGAGGCTGAGGCAGGAAAATTGCTTGAATCTGGGAGGCAGAGGTTGCAGTGGGCCAAGATAGCACCACTGCACTCCAGTCTGGGTGACAGAGCAAGACTCCATCTCAAAACAAACAAACAAATAAAGCCTATATTTTTAGCAGGGCATGGTGGCTCATGCTTGTAATCCCAGGGCAGTGTGCTAAATGCAAGACAGGATAGAAAAAGGCATAAGGAAGTCTTTTCCTTGAATTTAGGAAGGAATATGACAAGAGCACGAATTATCAGCACAATGTGTTAAATTCATGTGAAAGAGTCAAAATTCTCTTGAGGTGAAGGCGATGGTAGGGCCTTTGGAGAGGAGACGGAATGTGAAATGGGCTTTAGTTAGGGTTTTGACAAAAGATAACTGGAGGACAGCATGCAGAGGAAACAGCCTGAGAAAACATATGAAGGACGATATAGGTAAGCAACAGCAAACAGTCTATCTTGTAGAAGTAGAGTTTATAGGGGTTGGGGATGATAGGCTGTAACGTTCTGTGACTTCAGTACCTAGCTGAGGAACTTGGATTAGTCAATGGGGCACATGGGTAGATTTTGAGTAGGGTGACGACAAGCTTGGGGCCTCAACTTGAGAAAATTAATCTTGCAGCTATCTGTGGTATAAATTGGCATGGGAGATGATATGGTTTGGCTCCAGGTCCCTACCCAAATCTCATGTGGGGATTTGTAATCCCCAATGTTGTGGGAGGGACCCGGTGGGAGGTGATTGGATCATGGAGGCAGATTTCTCCCTTGCTGCTTTCTTTTTTTTTTTTGAGACGGAGTCTTGCTCTGTCGCCCAGGCTGGAGTGCAGGGGCGCGATCTCGGCTCACTGCAAGCTCCGCCTCCCGGGTTCACGCCATTCTCCTGCCTCAGCCTCCTGAGTAGCTGGGACTACAGGCGCCCGCCACCGCGCCTGGCTAATTCTTTTTGTATTTTTAGTAGAGACGGGGTTTCACCGTGGTCTCGATCTCCTGACCTCGTGATCCACCCGCCTCAGCCTCCCAAAGTGCTGGGATTACAAGCCACCGTGCCCGGCCCTTGCTGCTTTCAATGACGGTGGTTGAGTTCTCACAAGATCTGGTTGTTTTTGTTTTTGTTTGAGATGGAGTCTCGCTCTGTCACCCAGGCTGGAGTGTAGTGACGCGATCTGGACTCACTGCGACCTCCACCTCCTGGGTTCATGCAATTCTCCTGCCTCAGCCTCCAGAATAGCTGGGACTACAGGCGTGTGCCATAATGCCCGGCTAATTTTTTGTATTTTTAGTAGAGATGGGGTTTCACCGTGTTAGCCAGGATGGTCTTGATCTCCTGACCTCATGATCCACCCACCTCAGCCTCCTGAAATGCTGGGATTTCAGGCGTGAGCTTGCTTCCCCTTCACCTTCCACCATGATTTTAAGTTTCTTTAGGCCTCCCCAACCATGCTTCCTGTACAGCCTGAGGAACTGTGAGCCAATTAAACCTCTTTTCTTTATAAATTACTCAGTCTCAGGTAGTTCTTTATAGCAATGTGAGAATGGCTAATATAGGAGCAATTAACGGTAAAGAGATGACTGGGCACCGTAGCTCATGCCTGTAATTCCAGCACTTTGGGAGGCCGAGATGGGTGGATCACCTGAGGTCGGGAGTTTGAGACCAACCGGACCAACATGGTGAAACCCCATCTCTACTAAAAATACAAAAATTAGCTTCGGTGGTAGCAGGTGCTTATAATCCCAGCTACCTGGGAGGCTGAGGCAGGAGAATCACTTGAACTTGGGAGGCGGAGGTTGCACTGAGCCAAGATTGGGTCATTGCAACACAGGGGTTGGGGCAACACAGCAAGATCCTGTCTCAAAAAAAATAAAATAAAATAAAAAATAAAGGTAAAGAGACTAGTTGGGAGGCTATTTGTAATAAACCAGGATTTCTCTGTCTCAACACTACACTACTGACATTTTGCATCGGATAATTATTTGTTGTGGGAGGGTCGTCCTTAGTATTGTAGAATGTTTAGCAGTGTCTCTAGTGTCTATTTACTAGATGTTAGACAACCCCTCGCCCCCATATGACATTGCCAAATGTCTCTATGGAGGCAATATCACCCTCAGTTGAGAACTGTGTGTAACAGACCATGTGAGAAATAAAAAAGGGTGGATGTTAGACATGGGTAAGGGCAAAATCTAAAAGCCTTGGCAAGTGTTTGGATAGGCGTGCAACTCAGAAAGAGGGAGTGTTGAAAGCTCAAACAGAGAAAGGTCCTAGAGGCCATGTACTGTAGTCTACTATGCTTATCATTGCTTGAAACATTGTAAACCCTCTTGGAAGGCAGTTTGGTAAAACCTATTAATAATCACAAAAAGTATCTTACTTTTTGACCCAGCACTTTTATTTCTTAAAAGATTCAAATGAAGACAAGGAATCTTTATGTACAAAGCAATTAGTTGCATGACAGACAGTGACCATGTTCTCAAAAATTACACCCTCATGCCACCACATTGCCTGTTAAATTAGAGGCCCAGATTTAAGAACTCGAATTTAAGAGCCAGAGAAGTTGCAGCTAAAGAAACAAAATCCTAGAGGGGCAGGAAGGGCAGATATCAAGAATGCAAGTAGAGGAAAACATAACTTCTTTTTCGGAGAGAGGACAATGAATTTGAGAATTTGTATTGGAGAAAGGAGGGAGAGAAGTTAGGTGGAGGAACTCCTAGATAGGGCTTCAGTCAGCGAATTCATCTGCAGAGCAGAAGTTTATGCGGAACTCAAACTGCCTGAGGGCATTCCTTGAAAACAAGAATTCTGCACTTTTTGGTGAGAAGTTGCCGGTGGAACATCCTGTTCAGAAATGAGGACATCTAAGGAACACTGCAATATGCAAAGACTAGAAGGAAAGAACAGTCAAGTAGCCATTTCTCCTGGGGAGTCTCTAGTAACTTGATTTTGTGCTTCGTGTTGTTTTTTGAGACGGAGTGCGGTGGCGCGACCTCGGCTCACTACAACCTCCACCTCCCGGGTTCAAGCAATTCTCCTGTATCAGCCTCCCAAGTAGCTGGGACTACAGGTGCAAGCCA